ATAATAATCAGTGGGGTATAACAGTGGCCCTCTGGGTCCCCACAGTCCCCACCCAGTCTGCTTCACTCATTTCCATTCCCAGCCTGGCCCCTGGAGCATTTGAGTTTGAGACCCAAGGGCCTCCAGTGCTGAGGTTCCAAATCTCTCAATCAGTATCCAGCCCTTGAGCCTGGCTGAAGCTGGGGAAATAGAGCACAGGAAGAAATGGGGGTAACAGGATTCACAGCTAGACTCATTTTAGAAATGCAATCCAGCCCTGGCCAGTTTGGCTCAGCGGTTAAAGCGTCGGCCTGCGGTCCGGAGAGACCCGCGTTCGGTTCCCGCTAAGGGCACGTACTTCGGTTGCAGTTTGTCCCCGGCCCTGGTTGGTCGTGCGGGTGGCAGCCACTCGATGTGTCCCTTCACGTCGATGTTTCTTTCTCTCTCTCCCTTCCTCTCTCTCCCTCCCACTCTATCTGTACAAAAAAATGGAAAAATATCCTCAGGTGAGGATAAAAAAAAAAAGAAATGCAATCCAGCCTGTCTTATGTGGCTCAGTGGATTGAGCATCTTCCCATGGACTGAGAGGTCCTGCTTCAATTCCCAGTCAGGGCACATGCCCAGTTTGCAGGCTTAATCCCTAGTACGGGGCAACCGAATGATGTAGAAACATCAATGTTTCTATCTCTCTCTCTAAAAAAAATAAATAAAAACATATTGAAAAAATTAAAAAGGCATAGCAATCCAGGAACATACAAACCACAGAATTTATTGTAAATGTTGTTATTTTGTTGCTGCTGTTAACAAGTATCCAATTTTCGTTCACACCATCCTATTAAACCAAACATTTGCTCCAGTGCATGGAGTGGGACAGTGCTAGGACCCACCCCCCAACTGTGAGGGACCAGGCCACAGCAGCCCAACCCAAACACAACACCACACATGATCAAAGGCTGTCTTAGCATTCTTGATAATAGCACAAAAGCCTGGACAGACATCCTCTGTTATCATATTTGGGGATGTAATAACCAATGTAAAAGGATGACTCGTAATTGTGCAAATAGACATAATGAGCAAAAAACTTTTTCCGCTATGATTGTGCTCTTTGCAGTTAAGATATCTAGACTCTAGAAATACCATTTATGTGGCCCAGGTCAGGTATAGAACAGTACAGGTAAATAATCTTCACTGCAACTAAGTGCTAGAAGGAGAGATTTTGACTGACGGAGTTCTCGGAAGGAAGGGCACCACAGGCTGGGGACGCCTGGGCAGTTTCCTGGCCCCAGAGTCATGGAGCCAAGTCCCCTCACTAGCTACCTGTAGCCCCTATGCCCAAGAATCCCTCCCAGGGGAGTGGTGTCAAAGAAGATGACCCAAAGGAGCTCACTGAGTCGCTGTCACATGCACCATCTCTGCAGCTTCCATCCCTGGCACAAAGCCTCTCTGAGCCTCAGTTTTCCATCTATAAAGTGGATGTGAGTGATGGAGTGAGACCTGGCTATGCACTGTTCAGGGAGCAGGCTTCTGCTTCCATTTCCCATGTTTCCCCAAGAAAAGTCCCACAGGCCACGTGAGACCTGGTCCTAGGCAGTGCTGTGCTACTAAATCCTGGCTGTATGACCCCAGACCCTGACCCTCCTTGTTCTCATATCCCCCATCTGTAAAATGGGGCTTTACACTCTCTTGAGTTTTTTGAGCCCTAAACTTGATGATCCAGCCTTAAAGTCACCTAGGCAGACTTGGCTGTGGTCAGAACATCCAGAGCCTTCCTGGTACTGGGGGTGGAAGAACTCAAGGAGAGGGCTGAGGTGCACTGGGTGGCTCTTGCCGGGTGAAGACAAAGCCGGTGGAGGGGTAGCTAGAGGACAATGACGTGAAGACAGTGAATGTATGCCAGTCTTTTAGGACCTTGGCTGTGTTGGTCAGGCCTGAATGGAATGTGGGGCCATGGCACACACCAACCAAGCACATCTTATGCCCAAGACCCAAGTGCAAGGGCAAGATACATTCTCATAGCTCTAGTGGAACAGGCCTTGGGCAAGCCTTCTCCAGGAAGCCTGACCTGAACACCTTCTTCTCTAGGTTAGGACCCCACTCACCATAGGCCCACATCAATTCCTGACCAGACCCTGAGGATGCAGATGGAGTGAATGAGACCCTGAGAGGAGCAGGTACCCTGTTCAAGGCTCTCTGCATGGAGCCTCTGAGCCTCCTGTGCTTCACAGCCAGGAGGTCTAGACTGCAGACTGGGAAACAAGCCTAGAGTGGGAGAGCACATGCGGGAAGCCACACAGTGGACAAGGCTCCAGCCACCAGGTCTTTTCCCAAGCAAGTCCCTCCACCTAAACTCAGGTCTCTTCTCTGTCTTGTGAACACCTTTCTACTTCTAGCACTCAATCCATGGGCCCCTCCTCCAAGAAGCCTTCCCTCACCCATCACTCCAGAGATGCAACAATTCCTCCACTGGACCACTGGTCCTGCCAAGCAGCCCTGGACGCCTCTACCTCTGCCCCAGGGGCCTTCACTGTAACATCTACTCACAAAGCTACCTCCTCAAAGTGCTGGGAGCTCCCTGGGGAATGAACTGGGTCTCACTGTTCTCTGTCACCCTAATACCAGCTTCAGCACCCTGCCTGGCACATATTAGGTACTTAAAAGATGTCTAAGGACAAATAGAGTACCAAAGGTGAGGAGGTATGGAAGAAACACTCAGCAAGAGAGGTGCCCATCCACCCCCACCTGCCAGGCAGGCAGCCTCACTCCACCCTGCCCCAGTTGGCAAAAGCTACAGAATTAAGCCCAAATTATAATTAAGACAGGATGTTGGAAGAGGAACACAATCTCCATTTCCGTGGGATGCACGGGCACAACAATAAACGTCTCATTAATATTCACCTAATTAAGCAGTTTATGAAAGTACGTGGATTTGCATACAGCCACACCAGCCTTGTTCAGGTGGAAAATTATCCCCTCAGGCCCAGCCTGGCCAAGAGGTGGGAGGGCTCAGTGAGTTCTGGGAAAGAGGAGGGGTAGGTGACACAGGTCAGCAGAGACTAGAGGAGGGATGGTCCTCACCCTGCCCAATCCTAGCACCTCCCCAAGTCCCACCTCCCCGGGACCCACTCTCCAGCTTGAGAGTGTACAGTTCACTCTTCCCCTCTTCCCTCTGCCCACTCACTGGGCCAAGGTCAGGGTTTCTCAACTAAGACCTTTTACAAGAAAATAAAGGTCAAGGATCCCCGTCCCACCACACCCCCCAGGCTTTTCCTGCCCCTCACTGACCAACCCTGTGCAGCATAAGCCTGGGCCATGCTCCTGGGTGCTCACTGCAACCCCACCCCTGTGGCAGGAAACAGACCTTCCATCTAAGAAAACCTTTTCAGCTTCAGGTACATTTTACCTGCATCATCTGACTCACCCTCCCAGTTCCCTGAGGGCAGGGTTCGCATTATTCCCATTCTGTCCTGAAGGAGAGGGGTTCTGGGAGTTCTAAACCCTGCTCAAAACCACAGAGCTGGTAAGAGGCAGAACCGCTGCTCTATGACCCCAAGCCCCTCCCACACCTTCAAGTAGCAAGCTTTTGGGGACACAAACACTCCACTGCCAGCAACAACAACATGAGTGACCCCCACCATGCAAAAAGACAGCTTGCTCCTTCTCACATGCCCAGGACACTAACCACCACCACGGGCCTTCTCAACTCACAGCTCAGAGGCCCCTGAGGGAGTTGAGCTGGAATCAGTCCCCTGTGATGGGTCCACAGCAGGAGACCTCTGTTCCCCAAAGGAAAATAAAGGGGCCTGTTAGAATGGTGTCCAAGATGAAGTACAACATTTTCCCCTCAAGCACTTTGAAGCTTTGAGCACTGTCCATATTTCAGTTGTTCATGAATTGCCTTACTGATCCTGGCTCCCACTGCAGGCATTCCCACCATTTGTGCACCTGGATGCCAGTCAACTCGCTGCCCATTCCAAGAGCAAATCAGGACAACGTTTCTCAGTGAAAATGATAGAGAGAGAGAGAGAGAGAGAGAGAGAGAGAGAGATAAAATTTTTAAATGCTCATTCCCAACAAACTATAAAAAGCATCAGTTATAAAGGTGAGACATTTGACTTTGTTACAGTTTAAATAATCCATTTGCCACAACTTAAAACAAAGCCATCACAAAGGGAAAAGAAAACCCATAGACAGACCAGAAGAATATAACTGCAGTACATATAGCTGACAAAAAAAAAAAAATGTTTCCACACTATATAAAAAAACTCTGCAAATCAATAAGAAAAAGATTAATCAGCCCTGGCCGGTTTGGCGCAGCGGTTGGAGCGTCGGCCTGCGGTACTGAAAGACCCGGGTTCGGTTCCCACTAAGGGCACGTACCTTGGTTGCAGTTTGTCCCCGGCCCTGGTTGGTCGTGTGGGTGGCAGCCACTCGATGTGTCCCTTCACATCGATGTTTCTCTCTCTCTCTCTTCCTCTCTCTCCCTCCCACTCTATCTGAACAAAAAATGGAAAAATGTCCTCGGGTGAGGATAAAAAAAAAAAAAAGAAAGAAAAAGATTAATCATCACTTTTTGTAAAAGGCAAAGAACAGGAACAGGCTACTGGAGAATAAAAAGTCCTGAAGAGCCACAACACATGATAAGACTTGCCTCAGTGCAGCCGAGTTCTTGGATACAATTCTGTGCCCATTAAGATACTAGACATCTGAAAAGTCATCATGCCAAGAGTTCTTGGGACTGTGGAGCAGGAGGACCTCTCCTACATTGCTGGTTGAAGTAGAACTTGTCAAAAGCATTTGGAGAAACAATTTGGCCTGTAAAGTTGAAGATACATGTACCCTACCACCACCATTCCATTCCAAGAGACCCTCTCCCCACAATACACACACAAGGAGGATGGGCAATGCTGGCAGCAGCCATGTTTGTAAGACTGAAGGGGAAACACTGCAAGTGGCAGCCAGCAGGAGAATGGATCAACACCGATGAACAGATTAACTGCGGCCGACTGAACACTTGCTCTCACCTTTACTCTTTTCCATAAATCCTCAAGGGCGAAGAATGGAAGAAAAGGAAACAGCAACATAATTTTGGAAGCTGGAAAATAGATGGGTGAATGGTAATTGATTTGGCAGAGCTGAGAAAGCAAAGTTCCAAGTCCAGGTTCTGTTACCTGGCAGAACCCACCAGAGGTTCAGTATCTGATGGCACTGGGTAGCTCTGGACATAGAAATAAAGGGCTTGTTGGAAGGCTGTGTAAGAAGTAGGTATATCCCCAAGGAGCTTCCATCTCCAGCTAAGCCCAGAGAAGACTGGAGTTTTGTGGTGTTTCCTCTGGGGAGGATCAAGCAGACTGGGAGACACCAGACCTGATGGAGATTGAGGACCATACTGAAAACTGAAGGAGTAGGTGAAAGTTTATATGTTGAATTTCAGGTATCAACCCAGCCTTCCTCTCCCACTCAGCTCCAGAAGGCTCTGCCATCAGGGCTCCCCATGAACCAGCCCAGGCAGACCAGCCACAGGGTAGCCACAGCTGAGGAGTTGCAGAGAGGTGACGGGGCACCGAGGAATGGAGGGGGGAGGCTGGGAGCCTCTGCACAGCAGGCCTCTAGGGAAACGGAACTGAGCAGGTCAGAAGGCTCAGGGAGAGAGTTCTTCCACAAGACTAAAGAGGAGAAGTCCTTCCAGTTGACAGAGGACTTTATGTGTTTACCTATGTCCAGAGGAGATTCACCCAACTAGGCAAGAGTTGGAAATTCAATTAGTGATAGGTATTAAAAAAGAACTGCCCTGGCTAGTTTGGCTCAGAGGTTAGAGCACTGGCCCGTGGACCAGAGACCCGGGTTCAGTTCCCACTAAGGGCACGTACCTCAGTTGCAGTTTGTCACCGCCCCGGTTGGGGTCATGTGGGTGGTGACCAGTCATTGTGTCTCTCTCACAACGATGTTTCTCTTTCTTCCTCTCTCTCTCTACCTCCCTCTCTCCCTCCTGCTCTATCTGATGATAAATGCAAAAATGTCCTCAGGTGAGGATAACAAAAAAAAAAAAAAAGGACCACCCTCAATTCCACCCCCACCCCTGAAAAATTAGTAAACGGAGAAAGCAGAGCTGTCAAGAAAGGAAAAGTATTTGGCGTATTCTACCTAGCTCAGCTGGGAGGCTCAGCCAACGAAAAATGTGAGTGGGGAATGGGGTCAAATGGAGCTAAATTCTCAGCTTCCATTGTAGAAGTCAAGAGGTAATGTCTAAAACCAGAAAATCAAGGAGCAGCCATATAAGCTAGTTATATAGAAGCAGGAAAGTAAACACAGAAACAATCCACAGAAAAGAGTTTGCTCTAATGGCAAGTGGCCCAGGGAAGGACAGGGGACTATAGGGTTTTTGACAAAGTAACACCAGTGCCTGCCTACCCCATCCCATTCCCACCCCAGTGTGGCCACCTCTGGCCCTAAATACCTTCCTCCCCTACCCTAACCAGTTAGTGTTCATTGTCCCATGCACCCCTACCCACCAGCACCCCAGCCTCCTGGCCAGCTCCTACCTCTACCCCTGCTGGGTTCCCATACCTGGGCCCCCTCCCCTCCCTCAATGGGACAGAAGCAAGACACCCTGGGCAGACAGGGAGACACTCAGCTTCCTCTTTCTCTTCCTCTTCTCCCTGGTTGGGGGTGTCCTGAGGGTAGGGGTCTGCCCAAGCCAGCAACCTACTGAGTTTTCCTGTCTTTCATTTAGCATAGTTATTGAGTGCCTCTTCTGCCCTGGGCACTGAGGACAGGGCTGTGAACATGGCAGCTACACATGAATCAAATAAAGCAACAAATACAAATTGTGGGAAGAGCCCAGAGGGAAGGGAATCAGGTCTGTGGAAGCAGAGCTCTAATTTCTTCATAGGGACACTGAGGGGTGGGTGGCCTGGGACACTGACAAAAACACAAGTGTCCGAGTGTCCAGGCTTGGAGAAGGGAGGAAAGGACCAGGCGGCGGGTAGGGGGAGCATAAAGGTCTCTCCCCCCAACTCTGTCCTGCCTCTCCCTCTTTGCTCCCCACCTATCACACTTGGGGCCAGGCTTGACAGAAGACAGCAGAAAGAGAAATTCACAATCCAACCTTTAATGGACACTGATGCCCATCTCGCCAGGGTGATCTACACCCTTAATTCCTTGCCCACTCAGATCAGATGAGGTTCTACAGCCATGGGAAGAAGGGTGGGGCAACAGAGCATAGGTGCAGGGCCCCTCTGCCAGGGATTTCTCTCTGTCTGCTGTAGTCCTGTCACTGCAGGTATCTTCCTGCCTGTCCTTCCTCCATAAACCCTGCTTTCATTCAGGCCTCCCCTTCCCAAGAGCCCTCCACTGCTCCCACTGCTCTCAGGGACAATTTATGGACCCTAGCATGTAGTTCTGGCTACAGCCAGACCCAGGCCAGGCTCAGGCCACAGAGCTGAACCAGGAGCTGACAACCACTTCACTTCATGCTGGCTGAAACAGAGGTTGTCCATGGCAAGGAGGAACCCAGAGAGGGAAACAAGCTGGCACAAAGTCAGCAAAGACTTCCAGAGGGACCATGATGAGGCCCAGCGTTGGAGTGCGTGGAAATCTGCCAAGAGCTCATTGACAGGAGGAAAGCCCACTTGGCCCATTCCCACCTCCAGGCCTTTACTCTAGCTGGGCCACCTGTGTACTGGGTCCTTCCTTCTACTACCCAGATAATCCACTTCAAGTCCTCCTGAGGCTGCTCTTTCAAAGATCCTTCCAAGCCTCTCTCAGCCTCATCCGTGACTTGGGCCTCTTTCTTCCCTCCCCATAGCACACAGTGGGTGCTCCGCTCTGGGAGATCTGTTTGTTGGCCAATAGTGTGGCCAGAGTCAGCAATGGGGCAAAAGGGGCAAATTCCCATGGGAAGAATCTCCTTCACACACTGCTCTACCCCAGATTATACTTGGCAATGTCAAAGCCAACTAGAGCCCAGGACGGAGGCAGGGGGATTGACACAGAAAGAGAATGAGGGAAAAGAGCCAGTTCCTCAGCCCCCCCACCCACCCCTGGTGAATGGCGACTCATACCTGACAGTGCTAGATAGCCATCATCCACTTGCCTTGTGCCCTACCCCCACCCCACATCATGAGCAGAAATGGTCCCTGGGAAGAGGGGCCAGGGAGCCTGAAGTAGCTATCACCATCTAATTCCTCCTATGTGCCAGGCACCTCACATGAGACCTGCTTTTCCTTACCTGCTCACTGTCTAAATGTGCCAAACATGCATGTGTTTAATTCTGAGGCCCTGATCTGCCCCAGGTGGAGAAACTGAGGCCCAGAGAGGTTTAGTGACTTGCCTGCAGTCACACTGTGGTAAGTGGCGGACTAGGATGTAGGTCAAATATGCCAGCCCGGGAAGCTGGGTTATTCCCAGGGACCACCTACAATGGGGGTTCCCAGGATGGGGAGAATATATGACTTGGGCCTGAGTACCAAGAAACAAATAACCTGTGGTGCTTTCAACTGAAGTGGGACACCCTGTGAGGCCTCTTCCCAGGCTCACCCCTAAAACCAATGTTTTCCCTCCAAGTGCTAGACAATGCCTGGAGGGTCAGATCATTGCTGCCATTTATAGATGGGGAAAGTGAGGCTGTGAGAGGCTCAGGGACTAGTCCACACACTAGGACGGGTGGATTCCGACTAGAGATCCAGGGCCCTTCTCCAGGAACAATTTATCCTCCTCAACTCAGCAGTAGCAGGCCCTTCATTAGCTCTGGACCAGCCAGAGTGGGCTCAGCCATTCAGGGCCAGGGACACGGGAGGCTGGAGGGCCAGCCTGGACTAGCAAGCTGCCTTCCAGGACCAGAGAGAGTGGCCAGACACCTGTCACTCTCCACCCCTGCCTGAGCAAGTCAGGGGCTGGGCCCCAAAGGGGTCAGCTGGTCCCCATCTTCAGCCCTTGAATGATGACTGCAACCTTCTCTGGGCTCAAGTCACCCAGAAAGCTGAACCCCACTCCATCCCCTGACACAACACCTCTTCACCTACAGGTATCTGGTATGATGAGACAGGATCACAGAAAGGATGAGGCCAAACAGAGGAGAGATGAGAATATCATAGCCCTGGGGAAAGAGCAAGCCCCCTCTAGAATGGGGGTTAAGCCACGAGCTCAGAGGTTCCTTCCAACCTCTTTGACATTAGAGAACCCTGGACCCCAAAAGTCTATGATTCTAAAATCCCACAATTCTGGGGCTTTTGCATCTGCCACCATTGTTGGGCACTGACTCCATGTGCAACATTACATAGCATGGGCATCACCCTCTACCACTCCAGCACGAGGCAGGTTCCACCCACAGAGAATGGACCTGCCCAAGGTCCCAGTGATGAGAGGCAGGCCAGGGTCGGATGCCAGGGCACTGACTGAAGCTGCTGTGTCCTAAGCTCACAGCCCATAGGTCCTCATGTTTCACACTATCCCAGACTGCAGGTTTGCAATAGATTCCTCTGGTCTAGAAAACCAAAGGTCTGAGAGCCATTATTTCTCAGTCCTAGGATTCTCCACAGAGACTTCTCAGAGCATAGAAAGGAAGCCCCCACCCTGTTCCTGCCCTCCCAGAGCTCTCCAAGCTCTGTAAACAAGATCTCCCAGTGTTCATGGAGATCCCTGAGGAAGGACAGGTAAGTCTTGGGCTCAGAGTCCTGGAAGCTGGGTCAGGAGGCTGGGGTAGGGCCAAGAGGGGAAAGGGGCTGGTAGGGACTCCAGAGCCACTGCCAGCCATCTGCCTGCAAATGAACAGGGTGCTATTGGGCCCACTCCACATATGAAGTAACTCAGGAAGGAAAATTCTTGGCCCAGCTAGGCACCCTGGGGACAAGGCACATGCTCCCTTCCCAGCCCTGGCCCTGAAAACGGATTGGGCAGGCCACCTGCCCTCTCTGGCCTCGAGTTTCTCTCTGTTCTGTGAACTGAATCACCCCCTTCCAGCCAGGTTCCAAGTCTGGTGTTAGAATCCTCAGAGTGGCCACCCTCCAATTCAGAGGCCACCAGAAAGGTAGGACACCCACTACCACTGTGGACCCCACCTCCAAACCTGCAACAAACACCACTTAAATAGCATCATCCATGTAGAAAGAGAAACCTTGCAGCCTTCCTCCTGGGTCAGTGTGACCACAGGTGCTCTTGGGCCAGGGATGGCCAGTGGCTAGGAGAACTTGCTATCCCTGGGAGTGACCTGGATGGACAGTCCCATTCTGGCTGAACTCCTGCACCCGATGGGTCAGGCAACAAGATGGGGTGGTGACATGATGGAGTTTGGTGGCAGACAGCCCAGGTTCAAATGTCACCCACCAACCCCTAAAATTTCAGAACCGTTTAGGGCAAGTATTTTAATTTCTCTTAACCTCATTTCCTCATCCATAAATGGAGGCCATATGTACTTCCTTAAAAGGAAGGGATGTGTGTAAGCAGGCAAACTGGCGGGGCTGAGGGAGGTGCTCTGCCCAGGCCTCCCTGAACAACCTGCCTGCCCCCAGGTCCGCCCTACCTGACACCTCAACTTCCACTTTCAATGTCCAAAATCCACAGACCAGGAGGAAAAATCTGTAGTTTAAAATAAAGTGAGATTTGCTTCTCATTAAAATGAAGTTTGTCACCTCTGTCATAAGCTGTTGTCTTCCTCAGCAGCAGAGAAGGGTCCATTAACACATTTTCTTCTTTCTCCAAATGAGGCAAGAGTGGATAGGTTTGAAAATTCCTGTGGACAATAAAAAAGTCTGAAAAGTACCCCCACCTCCAGCTGTCCCCAGAAGCCAAAAATCACTGTAACGATGTGTCTAAGAGCAGACTGGGGAGAGCACCTTAGTCTGGCTCCTTCCAGTGCTGATCAGCAGGAACCAGCCCTGGTTCTAGGAGGTTGAAGACTGGGTAGTGGGCTTCAGTCTCTCCCTCTCACCATCCCTGCCTTCCACCTCCAAACATTTGCTCTCAGAGCCTAGGTCCCTGCAGTTACACTCTCTCTCAAGGCCTCAGCCTCCAATCTGAGCCATGGAGCTGTCTGTGCAACGGCTGAGGGCACTGGAGCCCTAGGTACCTGTTCCTGAGAAGGGCGGGCTGGTGGGGAAAAGGGGCTGCCTGGTGCTCTGAACACTTTCAATTCTGATATTATAACAATGATGACCAACATTTAATGAGCAGCTACTATGTACAGGGTTTGACAGAACTGACACAATCTTGGCACAGAGCCACACAAAGTCGTCCCTCCCCATGTCCTTTATAGATGAGGAGGATAATCACAGTAACATTAAGTGCCAGCTAGAACAGACAGCTAGAACAGAGAGATCTGAACAGAGAGGCCAAACTGAGCCCCATCCCCACCCACCCAGCACCCTGGATGCCCATGTATCCCAGCCAAACTCCAGCCCCAGATCTATGCAGGAAGAAACACAACAGTCCAGCCTTCAGCAACTTTCAGCACAGTAGACCTAAGAGATGGGAGCTATTACTGTACAATGACACACAAAGATAAAGGCTCTTACCTGGGGTCACTCAGCCCAGAAGAGGTGGAATTTTAAGAATATGGGCTTTGGGCCCCAGTTCACAGCCCTGGAAACTTACTTGGGCCCAGCTAGCCTCTAAGAGGCCCCGCCTGGAACAGCAGCTACCCCTCCGGAACTCAGAGGCCCTGCTAACTCAGGGGTCTCTGCCTAACCCATCTCCTTTTAAATCCTGAGAGCACCCCTCCTGAGGCTCCTGCCCCAGCCCTCACAAACAATACCCTTCCTCAGTCCCACACTTTCATGCTTCAAAGGGGTTATAAGTTCTTGGAGGGCTCCCAACCCTCCTGAACTCTGACCACCAAAACAACAGTGGGGACCCTCACCCTACCTGCCGCCCTCCTACGCTGCTCCCAAGGTGGGAGGCTCATGCTCTGATCCCTGCCTGGCCAGAGCCTCTGGGAGCTGCAGGCCAGCCCATGTTCTCTCTAGGGAGAATGGGTGAGGGGAGTTAGAGGCCACAGAGGATCAGTCTAGTGGGTGGTGAGAGTGTACAGGGAGGGGGCCTCACTTTCCTATAAAGTTTTCTTGGCTCCTCAAATGAGCAGGTAAGTGTGGGCCTTCACTCACATGAAATGCTGATCTGGCCTGACAGGACTTTATCCCCTGCCCAATGCTCACTCTGTACCCAGCCAAGCCCTCCAGCCCCTTGCCCACCTCACCCAGAGCCCATTGCCCCTCAAGCACCTTCTAGTTTAGATTCTACCTCAGAATTAAGGACCAGCCCCCATCCAATTCCACCCACACCCCCCTGGATGCCAGAGGTTATGTGGCATTCTTCAGGAGCCCTGCTCCAACCCCCAACATTCAATGCACACACGTCCACACAAATTCTCACACATGCAATCTGGGCATTCTACATGTGTGAGCATGGCATGAGTGCCTACCACACACACAGTTCCCTGCCTACCTGGGTCAGGCCAGTGACATCAGCAATGACAGCAGCATTCCAATCGGTTACAAGGGCTGATTGCCACTCACAGCAGATAAAAAGAAGCTTCCTGACCCCAGGCTGAGCCCTGGCCCTGGTCACAGGTATCATCATGGGTATTCCTCAATTTCTAGTCTCTCCCTTTACCTGTTTCAACTGTGCAGAGGAAGTAGTCAAGAGAGGCTGGAGTCACCACCCAGCATCAGGCCCTAAGGTTCCTTCGTAGCAGCTCCCTGTCCACAACTACAATGTTCCTTATTTCCACTTCAGAGAGGCCAAGGGTTCCAGCTGAAGTCACAAAGCAAGTCAGGGCCAAACTGGCACTGGGACCCAGGTCTCTCATCTCCTGGACCTGAGGCTCATGGGCAAGGCATGCCATGAGAGAGCAGAGCCACAGTGCTCGTGTCATGGTCCATCTCATGATGGTAGCACCTCAAGCCTAGAAGGACAGGACCCAAACCCACCCCTCTCTCCATCATAAATTCCCTCTCCAGTCTCCTTGGCCATATCCATCAAGCCCCTACTTGCATAATTCTGATGACAGCAAGCTCACCACCAAAGCAGCCTCTCCATCTGGAGCTCTAACTGGGATCCCTGTTCCTAGACTTGCCTCTGTTCCAGAGCAGATAGTACCCACTGCAAACCATGGTTTGTGGGGAGGGGGAGTTCTGGCCCCTCAGAGATTTCTAGACAGCAAGTATAGCCCCTGAGCCTGCCCTTTTCCAGGTTGCAGGTTGCAGTCCTTCTTTGCCTTCTACTTCCCATTATGTCCTTATGGACCAAGGTGGGGGCCCAAGCTGGAGCACCCACCAATTGGCTGAGTGGCTTAAGGTAAGTTCCTCATGCTCTCGGATATGAGATAACTTAGGTAAAGGCCTGACCCCAGAGGCTCTGGCAGCGTGGGCTTATCATACTCAGCCCTGGACAGGGCCCTGCACACCAGGCCTAACTGAGCCTACCCAGTCATCTCCTTCACACCAGACTCACTGTTCCTTGCAATATAGCCTCCAACAGCCTGAGCCAACACTTAGTAGCACTCTGCCCTATGTCTGTGCCTCTCTAGGTCTGGAACACCATTGTGTGGGTAGGCCTCCAACTCTGCTAGTATCTCCCTGACAGCTTGTTCTGTCTCTGAGGTTGTCCCTGGGCCAGGGGCCAGAGGTTTTCCCCAAAGCCTGGCCAGCAGACACCCCACTGTCCCCCCAACATGCTCAGTTCTAAGCCCTCATCAGCATCCCAGCCATACTCTCATTAACATAGTCAGCTGTCCCAAGCCCCAGGCTTAGTGAGTTACAGCCCATCCCTCCCTCCCAATGTCCTCACTACTGCTACCACAGGCCCATATTACAGTATGCCCATCTGTTAGCCTGTGGCTGCCATCACTACTGCTATTCCAGGGAGACAGAAGAAACAATAAGAACAAAAACAGGAAACAAAATAGTAAGACATGGTCTTGGGACAACTGAGGGGGCAGGAAGTGAGACTAAATAGATTGAGCAGGAGCTAAGTTTGAAGGGCCTTAGACAGCAGATCAAGGAGGTTGAACTCTTCCCTGTGGGCAATGGTGGGCCACTGAAGGAGAGAACATGGCAGGCGTATGTGTCTTGAGGCTCCCCCACTTCAGACACCAACAGGCAGACTAGATGTGGAGAGAGGTTGGGATATACGGCCCACCTACCGCATGCCAGGGAAAGAACTTGGAAATTCCCCCAAATTGTGGCCTCAGTTAGGAAGCAGTTCAAACCAGAGTGTCATTTTAGAGCCCCCAGTATGCCCTGGACTGTGGTGAGAGGAGACCTGGGGAAAATTAAAGCCAATGGTTTGTAACAAATGCTAGACTGTGTGGCTTCAATGTAGCCAGGGAGCAGGTATGGTGCTATGGACCAAACTGTGTCCCCCAAAGTCCATGTGTTAGAGCCCCTAACTCCCAATGTAACTATATTTGAAGGAAATAATTAAAATTAGATTAAGTCATGGCAAAACACCCTAATCTCAGAGGATTAGTGTCCTTATAAAAAGAGACATCGGAAATCTCTCTGTCACATAAGTACACAGCAAAAAGGTAGCCATCTATAAGCCAGGAAGAGAGATATTCCCAGAACCCAACCATGCTGGCACCCTGATCTCAGACTTTCAGCCTCCAGAACTGTGAGAAACAAACTGCTATTGATTAAGCCACCCAGTCTACGGGGTTTTGTTATGGCAGCCAAGTGAACTAAGACAAATGACAAAGTCAAGGAGAGCTTCCTAGAGGAGACAAGGTGTTGGGCAGTCCTAGGGCTGAAGACAGGCCAAATCATGGCTGGCTGGACACAGTGGGCCCCAGCCAAGGCCCACCCTTAATGAGGCCTACAAAGCCTCAGCAGTTTCTTTGGGGTATGACTCCTCCACAAGGAGTACTGAGGCAGTTGCAGGGTTGACAGGACTTTGAATCTTCCACAAAGTACAACAGACCTCCCTGGACAGGGTAAAGGCTAGAATTTTATGGCTCCTTGGCACCAGATTCTCTCTTCTGCCTCTACTAAAGGTAACAGCCTGGCCCAAGCCAGCCAGGAGTCAATGTGCAAAGACCTCCCCCCTACCCATGCTACCACCCCTAAGGGGGATGCCTGAAAGTGGAAACCTGAGCTCTGAACAACAGAAATGATCAGAATATGCAGAGAGAGAAAAGTTCTATAAATAAATATACATTTTAATGACATGTTTAATTAAAGTGGATTAAAATTAACTTGCTTTAAGAAAATCAGAAGTGCCCTGGAGGATTTCAGAAGCAGGGCCACAGTCCCTGAGTCCAAACACTCCACAGAAAAGCCTGTGGTGAGGTAAGGGAAGTACCCCATTCCCTGCATATGGTGTCCTTAGAAGGTGGTTGTTCACACTTACATAGCGCTCTGTGTACCACAAGGTGTATTCACATGGGATGATGGGCATGATCAGCCCTACTTTGCCAGGGGTAAACTAAAGCCCAAAAGGCACAGTGACTTTCCCAAGGTCACACAGCATGTCTGTGGCAGCTTCCACAGGAGGCCGCAGGTCCTTTTTGTCAACCCTGGGTATTTAATTCATTTTCAGCAACCAAAAGCCCCTTGCCCTCTGTACCCATGATCTGAGCTGCTGCCCACTAGCTCCCTCCACCTTCTCTGTGACAATCTGGTTCCTCTGAGGCCCAGCACAGGGAAGGTAGAGGGAAGTAGCCTGGGGGTTGGCAACAGGAGGCAGAAAAGGAAAGGACCCAAAAATCAAGATTCCAGAAATTCAAGCAGTCTTTGG